AAAAAAAAAAAAAAAGCCAAAACTATGCGAAATATTCCGCGAGTAAATTATAAAACGCGGATATGATTGAGCCAAGAATCTTACATTTATTAATATGCGGAAGGTTTAGGTTAGGTTTAGGTTAGGTTTAGGTTAGATTTAGGTTAGGTTAAGGTTTAGAAGATCAGTTTTTGTTATTAAAACTAACAATTATTACTTTTAATAATTTATACGGTAATGTTGTTTTAACAATATTTCCAATAGTTTAGCTTATTACATTCTAATAATTATGTTACTATGCAATAGCGATTGAAAGAAAGGATATTTTTTTCTTTTTTTTAAATTCAAAGCATCAAAAGTTTATGAATTCTCCATATGATATCAGGTAATGTCTGAGATTTTATTTTAATTAAGTTAATATTAATAGAGAATAGCGGATGTTCAAATCGAGATTTAAATCGGTTGAATATCATTGATGAACGATCATTCTGTTGTTCTAAGAATGTTGCATCGACTCTTTTATGATTCTGTCGAGCATTGGAACAAAAATGTATTTCGAGTTTAAAACCATCAACGAACAATGCACTTTAGCTTTTCTCCTTTCTGAACTGAGATGATTGTCTATAAAGAACGAGATGCAGGATCTGCACGCTTATATCCTATCAGAACGAACGTTTCACTCGTCAGATGGTCGAAGTTCTTTATCGATTCGAGCGTGAACAACGACATTGGTCGATAAACTAAACTGAATTTAAACGGCAAATGGAAATTAGTGAAACGAGAAGTCCCGACGTTCCGTTAATGCGCTCTGATTTGTATGATAATAATCAGTCGAGTGCGCAAAGGAGATTTTCATTTGTGAGAAACAGTGGCAAAAAAAAAAAAAAAAAAAGAAAAGAAAAGAAAAGAGGAGAGACAGAACGGAATTTATGCGAATTTATGTCGAACGAAGCGACGCGAAAGCATCGCGGTCGTTAATAAAAGATACGGGACGATGCAAGCGTTCTCCATCTCGGAATAATCACTGTTTTGCCACTATTCGCGATTAAGGTCATCGAAGCTACAGTATATTCCCGACAATAGAGAATTTTACGTTGCTCGGCGAAGAGATCCTTTTCACTT